CTAACCATGGCAACTTCCTTGCTTTGCTGAACTTCAGGGTGGAGGCAGGTGACCACACTCTTCAGAAGCACTTCTCAAGTGGAGCTAAGAATATCACTTACACATCGAATAACAGTTGCATATAGCCTCAAAAATCCCTGAAATTAATAAAATTTCTATTTTTTCTCGGGTGGGGTGGGGGGCTTACAGCGCCCGCCCGAAGCCCCAAGCTATATGGGCTCGCTGCGCTCGCCCTGTATATATTTACATTCGGACAATCTGGAAAACCCCCCATACCAGAATCCTGGGTACGCCCCTGCAGTACCCTAAGGTTCAGAATTTGGGCCATCAATATTTATTATATACATAAACGACATAGATGTCTACGTAAACAGCAACCTAAGTAAATTTGCTGATGACACTAAAATAGGGCGTGTAATTAAATCTGACGAGGACTCCGCAAAACTACAGGAAGATCTAAACAAATTTTTCGAATGGTCTTCAATATGGCAGATGAAATTCAATGTGGACAAATTTAAAGTACTTAGGCGAGGAGATGTAAACAGAGAAACCAGATATCAGATGAACAACGATGTTATAGAGAAATTCGAACATGATGAGTAGGAATCTTAAGCCAAGTAAACAATGTGTATTTTCTCGAAACAATGCTAATAAAGTACTTCGATTCAAACAAAGGAGTGTTAGTTACAAGACGATATCTTGCGCTTGTGAGACCTCACTTGGATTACGCAGTTCAATTCTGGTCACCGTATCATAGAATGGATATAAAATCCCTAGAAATTTTTCAGAGGAAAATGACAAGACTAATCCCGAGCATTAGGAACCGTGAGTACAGACACAGGTTAAAGCATCGTAATTTGCAGTCCCTCGAGAGACGTAGAGTGAGGGGCGATATGATAGAGGTGTATAAATGGAAGTCAGGGCTGAACAAAGGGGATATTACAAAGGTACTCAAACTATCTAACCAGGAGCGAACTCGTAACAATGGTTTTAAATTAGATAAATTTAGATTTAGGGGCGAATTAGGCAAACATTGCTTTGGAAAAATAGAGATGTGGATGGATGGAACGAGTTACCAAACATAAGAAGAACGTAAGAAAATAAGGAGTCTACAATAGGCCGGTTGGCCTGTGTATAGCAAGCAGCTCCTGTCGAGAAATACTACCACTCTCTATCCATGAATCTATCTAGCACTCCTTTTAAACTTTCCACCGTTCCAACACTTACTATAAAGTTGCTAAGCTTATTCCACTAGGCTACCACCCTATTTGTGAACCAGTTCCTTCCTATCTGCCTCCTAAACCTACACTTGTCTCTATGTTTGTCTTTGATACCCCCAAAATGTTCTACACTACTGAGGGTATACACAAACACTTGTTATCTTGAAAATAGGTTCGTATTCTCGTACGGGAGATATACAGATGAACTAATAGACAGTGGGCTTCCACACCATAAGGACTAGCTATCTCAACTCTCTGTATCACTCCGCACTGGCATGTACAGATGCCAGCATTCACAAGCTCAATACATAATATGTAAATATGATAATTCACATACATAACATGGTGCATAATAAATGGAAATATTACATAGGATTAATACATGTTCTGTAATACTTTACTATACATAATTAATAGAGTAATATAAGAATACACAGCTTAAGGTACTACTTCGTGTCCATATTATACATTATCCAACTTAAATCCTTTGCTACGAGTCCTATCCTGCTCGAAAATTAGAAGAACTTTATCTATATCTCCTTTATTGATTCCTTTCACCCACTTAAATACTTCTATCATATCTCCCCGCACTCGTCGTCTTTCTCGGTAATGCAAGTTTAGTTTCTTTAATCTATCCTGATATGGAAGGTTTCTAAGTCCCGGAACCATTTTCGTCATTCATTGCTGCACCGACTCCAGTGAATTGATATTCATTCTATAAAAAGGGCACCAGAACTGAACAGCATAATCGAGATGCGGCCTGACTAGCGCTAGATATAGTTACAATATGACCTCCGCACTCTTATTACTTACTCTTCTAGATATAAAACCTAATACTCCGGTTGCCTTATTTCGAACATAAACGCACTTTTTTCTCGGTCCTAGGTCCGGGCTTACAAGTACCCCTAAGTCTCTTTCACAAGTCGACTTCTTTAAGTTGATGTTGTTAAGGCTGTATACAGCCTTAACTCGAATACGGTGGATAGTTTCAAACATACAAGGTAGGTTGAATGGATATATAAACAATAGGAGTTGGGTGTAAATGACACTGCCCACTATGGGATAATAGGCCCGCTACACAAAAAAATATATATATATAAATACACATATGCCTGTTACATACGTGTATGTAAAACTCAATACCTCATTTTTTAATTACATCAATCAGTTGTTGTACATCAGCGATATTGATATTCATACAACCTCCTTTACACTTAGCATATTCCGCCATAGTGATTGCTGGATAGTGACACGTCAATAATCGGAGCCCTGACTCAGACCACGTAGGTTAATGAACTTGGACTGAAAAGTGCCCAGGGCCTAGAAAACTCTAAATCCAGCTCTGTATATATATATATATATATATATATATATATATATATATATATATATATATATATATATATATATATATATATATATATATATATATATATATATATATATATATATATATATATATATATATATATATATATATATATATATATATATATATATATATATATATATATACCAGCAGAATCGCCGCCCTCCAGGCGGCTCATCCGCTAGGCAACGGTAGGACTCCACCATCCAGGAGGCTCCACATTGTCTCACTGTTCAGTCCCCAAAACTTCTTCTTCCATCAATAGTTCATTAACGGTGTATGTAAGTTCCACCATGTTTTTCACTACAACGGTACAGCAAAGTATATTTTTTTTAGCATTAAACTCATATTATTTTATTGTCTAATAGTCACTACATATAACACCACCCAACATCATTACATACACCATCATCCATCATTACTACATATACCACCATCCATCATCACTACATATATCGCCATCCATCATCACTACATATAACACCACCCATCATCACTACATATAACAGCATCCATCATCACAACTTATAACATCATCCATCATCACTGCAAATAACACCATCCATCATCACTACATATAACACCATCCATCATCACAACCTATAACATCATCCATCATCACTACATATAACACCATCCATCATCACTACATATAACACCATCCATCATCACTACAGATAGGTAAGGTAGGTATCCGAGAATCTCGTGCGGACACACACACACACACAAACAGACATTTTTTTTTTATATAGATAGATTGTGTAATCATCACTACATATAACACCACCCATCATTACTACAGATAGGTAAAATAGTTTCCGAGATTCTCGTGAGGACACACACAAAAACACACACATACTTCTCTGTTATATATATATATATATATATATATATATATATATATATATATATATATATATATATATTTCATTAGCCCAATAAAGCACTCGGACTTCTACATACAATCAACACCTCAACCCGCCAGGATTCGAACCCACGGCCCACGAGCCCATGACTGTGACCGAGGAACGCTAACTGCTGGACCACCAGGATACTAAAAAAAGTCCTAGACTTTGTTATATTTCAAACAAAGCCTGTTCAACGAGCTTAAGGCGCCGTGAACCTCTAATGGGGACTACCCGTATCACGTAGGTGGTCAGAGTAACGTCTTACCAAATCCGGTTTCGAAACACGAGGATCCATATATATTTCATTAGCCTTTAGCAGTTGGACTTCTACATACAATCAACACCTCAACACGCCAGGATTCAAACCCACGGCCCTCTAGCCCATGTCTGTGACCGGGGAACGCTAACCGCTGGACCACCAGGATACTAAAAGCAGTCCTAGACTTAATGATATTTCACACAAAGCCTGTTCAACGAGCTTAAGGCGCCGTGAGCTTTAATGGGCTCGTGGGCCGTGGGTTCGAATCCTGGCGGGTTGAGGAGTTGATTATATATATATATATATATATATATATATATATATATATATATATATATATATATATATATATATATATATATATATTAATAGATTTTAACTATTCATTGCATCTGAAGAGGATTACTAATGCAGAAGTACTACATACACCAAAACAGACACCAGAACGAGGACCTCATCTGAAACAATTCCTTCGTACATTCTCGATTACTGAGTGGCACATAAAACATTAAAAATATTATTTGCACCGATGAACATGCCTTAAGGGCATCCGACAAAATTATAGCAATCATTGAGGAATAGAAATCCCGATTCAGTCATACCACACAAGAACAAGGATCACTCATAGTCGGTCTGGGTTAGATTATGTTATGTTAGGTTAGGTTAGGTTAGGCTAGGATAGGTTAGGATCCCAGTGATAATAAGTTAACATTGTCTTAGCTTAGATAATTATCTTTAGTGTAATTGTTTTGGTTTGGTATATGTATAACCTACCCTCACTATATGTATTCAATAGGATGTTACCTACGCTTGCTATGTATATTTAATAGTTAAGTGAAATAAAGATAAAGAGCTATAGTTTTGGATAATATTGACTACGCTAATATGTATTAAAGTAAGGTATATTATAGGAGTGAAAGGAAGATATTGTTTATTATTGTATTGAAATGTTAATGATGGTGTTTACTTTCTATTGTGTAGTTCATTTTGGTACATTTTAAATCAACTAGTTTTAATAAGAAAAGTTTGTTATTTATAAAAAAAAATATAATTATTTTTATTTTTTATTTATTTTTTATTTTTTATTTTTATTACATATTTTTTATTATATATATATATATATATATATATATATATATATATATATATATATATATATATATATATATATATATATATATATATATATATATATATATATATATATTTTTTTTTTTTTTTTTTTTTTTTTTTTTTTATTTGACTCACTCGGCCTCCTCTTCCTGTGGGACGGCTCTTGGGTATTTATTTAAGGCTGCTATCCCCCCAAACGTACTTACTATCATGTTTGTATTATTAGTTCTGTTGGGTATCACAAGTAATTCGGTCTCCTCAGGACAGTTTTCTGCGAACCAGGCGACTTCAGGGGACTCGTCCCATAGCACTACAACTTGGACGGCACCATCCTCCATGGCCGCTCGAACTTCATCACCAAAGCAGACCATGTCCGGTTCATCGATCCTGAGTTTTTCAAATATGGAACTGAGGACAGTGTTAGACTTTTCCAAAAGCATGTGCTGGCGGAGGTCCCGTGTGGCATTGATGGCCTCCCTCAGCCCTTGGCGGCCGGAGTATGAGGTGTTTTCTACACATCTTACAGCACCCTTCAAGAGCTGGGGTAGACGCTCCACCAACTGGTCCTTCAGCTGACCAGGACCCCCTTCTACCAGGGCCTGCACCTGCACGGTCGCCTTATTTTCATCCAGATAAAACTATTCGCTGAGAGCAATTACTTTCTTCACCAGCAATTGCCTTTTTTCCAGGCGGATGCGCTGGAACCTGGGAGCGGACTGGCCACCTCTCCCGTGCTTTTTTGGAATGTCCACGTTCTCATGGTGGTGGACTTTTAGTCCATTTTCAGAGAGCGTTCCAAGGGCAACTGCTGAACCATCGAGGATGATGTAGCCAACGCCTCCCTCTTGGGAGACGAGTAGTTGGTGCAGTGAGTGTGTGGAGAATGTCTTGCTGACATCGTATTTAAACTCTTGGACTGGTTCAGGAGGTGTTAACGTTCGGCGAAGGTGACTCACCTCGCCGGTTGCTCTGTTGAGAACAGATTGGCCATAAAACACTAAAAGCCCATGGGGTGGCATGACATTGACGGTGGATAACATATCCACAGCACTCCTCAGTGCTTCTTGCACTGAAGAGCGGTTGGAAACGGATTTTATGTTGGCCGCGCGGCTTTGTTCATCCTTGACTCTATTTTTTACGAGTATCAGGGAGGAAGATGATGGGAGGTGAAGGCTTAATACAGATGAATTCCGGAGAGCCTCTACATTCTCCAACTCCTTCAGAGCTGCTCTGAACTGGATCACTTGCACCCGATCCATCTTAAAATTTATAATAATATTTGGTTCTTCTGGTGACCTAAACTTGAGATTTAGGGAGAGATTAATATATATAGAAAAATGAGGTTGGAATTTTGTTCCTCAGCCTCAAACTGAACATGTTATAGTGAAGTGGTAGTAGTAGTAGTAGTTGAGATCTGTAGTAATATAGTAAAGATATAGTAGTAGTAGTAGAAATGCCGAGAGTGCTGCCCATGCGGTAGCCCCTCCCCCCCCCACCATTGTAACGGACACTTAATGTAGGGTCTCAACGAACCAAGTGAGTATACATAACTGATATTACACCAGTGAGACCATATATAAATAGCGGTTATTTGTGCCAAGGTTATATAGACAAGTGCCTGGTGTGACAAACTCTTGTCCATAGTGTATCATTCTGATGTATGGATGGTCGCTATTAGGGGGGGTAGCCTACACACCCACGCGTGCACGTATGCCCCTACTACCTGGACACAGCAGTCCAGCCTGTCACCTCTCCGCCCTTCCCTCATAAGAACCAGTATAATCTTGTGCCTGGGACTAAATCAGATGTTCGGAGGCGGACGTAACCGTCGCCCAACATGCCTGGTAACATTCTTTGCTGCGTCTGTGCTAGCCCGAACCAAAACTGCACAAATTGTGTTTGTGCGAGAAACAACCGACCATGTGTGGATTGCAGGAAGCTAGACCAGTGTCGGAACCCACGTCGCAGGGAGCCGACATAGGTGGCCACAGTGGATATCGCCGGGACCCAACTACCCGATGATATCCGAAATGATAACAGTGAGTCTACTCAACCCGAAAATGTAGTACTAACAAATGCTGCTCCCTTAGTAGCAGGTGTCCACGAGGAGAATGAGAGACAGCCACCGCAGTGGAATGGCATGTCGATGGAAAATGCAGACATATGGGTCAAAGAAACCTACTCAGAAATTGTCAAGTGGTCGCCCGCTAACTTATTTGAACCACCCAAGTGTGCGGCCACCAAAGAAATGATTCGGGAGATGACTCGCTTCATGACTGATTACACTCAGGACCGCTTCCTCGCCCCCCTAGCTCTTCAAATACTGGCAATAATACCACATCTATTTTGTCAGAGGACACACACAAAGGCTAAGCACAAAGAAAATGTGGCAGCAATGAAGAGAAGATTGACAATGTGGCAGACTGGGGCCCTAGATGATCTCCTATGTGAAGCAAGAACACTGCAGGAGAGACTAAAAATTACGGGTGACGGAAAGCAAAACACCGATGACGTGGCAAGAAAATTTGGAAACAAAATGCGTGTGGGAAAAGTGTCTCTCGCGGTAAGATCTCTCACAGAGGAATCCTCCGGTGGGGTGATGCCAATAAACAGAGAGACATTAAAACTATTGAAAGAGAAACATCCCCCTGCAAGCGAAGATGAAGGCATCAGGTTCCAGGGTGACTATATCCCACCAAATGCTGTCCTGTTCGAGAAAATAACAGGAGAGATGGTGTGGAAAAAGGCACTGAAGACTCGAGGAGGAGCCGGCCCTTCAGGTCTGGATGCAAACGGTTGGAGAGTCATCCTCAGCACAAACAAGTTTGGCCCTGTAGCAAGCGATCTCTGCACTGCCATTGCCGCCCTTGCAAGAAAGCTTGCATCCTCTTGCTGCCATCACCTCCAGGCCCTGACGGCCTGCCGCCTTATTCCTCTGGAAAAGAAACCAGGATGTAGACCTATAGGGGTGGGGGAAGTGCTGAGGCGGATCATCGGAAAGTGCATAATGGAGGTGGTAAAGGATGATGTCAGGGCAGCAGCAGGGAACCTACAAGTGTGTGCTGGCCACCAGGCTGGTGGGGAGGCGCCATTCACGCCATGAGATTGATATTTGAGCAGCGTGATTGTGAGGCCGTTCTCCTGGTGGATGCTTCAAACGCATTCAACATACTTAACCGCAAGGCTGCACTGCACAACATCAAGATCAAGTGTCCAAGCTTTGCGATGTATGTTGAAAATTCGTATAGGAATCCATCAGACCTCTACATAGTAAACAACAAGGCTCTACGAGGTGATACCATCCTACAGTCGACCGAGGGAACAACACAGGGGGACCCCGTTGCAATGGCAATGAATGCAATTGGCCTATCAGTGCTCCAACAAGAAATAAAATTTGAAACAACTGGGGTCAAACAAGTGGCATATGCTGATGACGTTACAGGAGCAGGTAAAGTGGAGTGCATCAAAAAGTGGTGGGACCTGGCAGCATCGCTAGGTCCACAAATAGGGTACCACCCAAACGCCAGCAAGTCCTTCCTCATCGTGAAGCCAGAACATTATGAACGGGCATTGGAGGTTTTTGGCGGAAGTGAGGTCAAAATAACTAAGGACGGCCAAAGACATCTAGGCGCAGTAATTGGCACTACGGACTTCAAGACCGATTACGTAGCGGGAAAGGTGAATGAGTGGGTTAGCGAAATCCAAGCTCTGTCTGAGATTGCTAGCACAGAGCCACATGCGGCCTTTGCAGCATTCACCCATGGAGTCAAGCATCGCTGGAACTACCTGATGCGTACCATCCCTGAGATCGGACCCCTCCTCCACCCTCTGGAAGAAGCTATCAGTGTCAAGTTCATTCCCAAACTAGTGAAACACCCTGACTTAACCCCAGCAGAAAGAACACTTCTTGCACTTCCACCAAGACTGGGAGGGATGGGACTAACTAATCCAGAGGAGATTGCTGACACTGAACATCAAAATTCACTTAAGCTCACGGCAGCCCTCACGGACCACATAATAGCCCAGAATGCAACAGGGGAAGTGGATACCAGCGAAGTAAATAAGATTCGTAGGTCCATTACGACAGATCGGCAGCACTGCCAAAATGACATGTTGCAGCAACTATTGCTGCAGGTTCCAGAAAATTTGACAAAAAAAGTAGCTATAGCGCAGGAGGTGGGCGCCTCGAACTGGTTAACTACGTTACCGATAAGGGCAAATGGTTTCAGCCTTAACAAACAAGAATTTACAGATGCCATTGCTCTAAGGTACGGTTGCCCAGTATATGGTTTGCCCTCCCAATGCGTGTGTGGCTCTTCCTATGATGGCGATCACGCCATGGTCTGCAAGAAGGGGGGCTTCATATGCATGAGGCATGACGAGGTAAGGGATCTCACAGCATATATGTTGAAGGAAATCTGCCGGGACGTCATGGTAGAACCGACCCTCCTTCCATTGGACGGCGAGATCTTCCAACACAGGACTTCAAACACATCTAACGAAGCCCGTGTGGACGTCAGTGCTCGAGGATTCTGGACGATCGGACAGCGAGCTTTCTTCGACATCAGGATTTTTGATCCCATGGCCGCTTGTCACCGTAACCTAGCTCTCGATGCTGCACATAGGAGGAACGAGAACGACAAGATAGGGCATATGGGGAGAGAATCCAAAACGTTGATCAAGGCACCTTCACTCCTCTAGTGTTCACAACCTCTGGTGGGATGAGCCCAAGTGCAAGATGTTTCTACGCCAGACTAGCGGAGTTGATCTCCGAACAGAAGCAGCAGCCCAGAAGTTATGTTACAGCCTGGATGAGATGTCGACTGTCCTTCTCTCTCCTTCGGTCGGCTTTGCTCTGCCTCAGGGGAACGAGAGCTTCTGCCCCTACTCCAACAACTGCTGCAGATATTGACTATGAGGCTACAGTCACTGAATGCCGCATAGATCTGCGGCTCAACTAATTTAACACAGATAGGATAGCTTCTTATGTATTAGGATATTTAATATTAAGGTAAATAAATGGTGGTGAAGGTGTAGCTATTGGGGGAGGCTGGAGGCCACGTAGAAATGCTGTAGTAATATAGTAAAGTAGCAATAGTAGGAGTTGAGATGCTGTAGTAATATAGTGAAGATAATATAGTAGTAGTAGTAGTAGTAGTAGTTAAGATGCTGTAATAATATAGTGAAGATATTGTAGTAGTAGTAGTAGTAGTAGTTAAGATGCTGTAGTAATATAGTAAAGATATTGTAGTAGTAGTAGTTGAGATGCTGTAGTAATATAGTAAAGATATTTTAGTAGTAGTAGTAGTAGTAGTTGAGATGCTGTAGTAATATAGTAAAGTAGTAATAGTAGTAGTTGAGATGCTGTAGTAATATATAGTAAATATATTATAGTAGTAGTAGTAATAGTTTAAATGCTGTAGTAATAGAGTTAAGTTATTGTAGTAGTAGTAGTTGAGATGCTGTAGTAATACTATAAACAAACCCTGAAAACGCCGGGTACTCCAGCCAGTACTATCTATATATTAGAAACAAAGAAGTACGTCTGTGTGTTTGTTGTTTGTGTGTCCGCACGAGAATCTCGGAAACTACTTTACCTATCTGTAGTGATGATGGATGGTGTTATATGTAGTGATGATGGATGATGTTATATGTAGTGATGATGGATGTTGTTATATGTAGTGATGATGAGTGGTATTATATGTAGTGATGATGGATGGTGTTATATGTAGTGATGATTGATGATGTTATATGTAGTGATGATGGATGTTGTTATAGGTAGTGATGATGGGTGGTATTATATATAGTGTTGATGGGTGGTGTTATATGTAGTGATGATGGATGGTGTTATATGTAGTGATGATGAATGATGTTATATGCAGTGATGATGGATGATGTTATATGTAGTGATGATGGATGGTGTTATATGTAGTGATGATGGATAGTGTTATATGTAGTGATGTTGGATGATGTTATATGTAGTGATAAGGGATAGTGTTATATGTAGTGATAATGGATAATGATGTTATATGTAGTGATGATGGATGTTGTTATATGTAGTGATGATGGGTGGTGTTATATATATTGATGATGGATGGTGTTATATGTAGTGATGATGGGTGGTGTTATATGTAGTGATGATGGATGGTGTTATATGTAGTGATGTTGGATGATGTTATATGTAGTGATAAGAGATAGTGTTATATGTAGTGATAATGGATAATGATGTTATATGTAGTGATGATGGATGTTGTTATAT